GAGAGAGAGAGAGAGAGAGAGAGAGAGAGAGAGAGAGAGAGAGAAGGGGAGGAAGGAAATGGCGAAGGGGGGCTGAAAAAGGAGGGGGGGTGGAGGGGGGTGGAGGAGGGGGGGTGGTCAGATCTGCTCACTGCAAAGACAATAAGAGGTGGAGGCGGTGTTCCATGGCAGTCAATGGGAAAAGCTGGCATAGGAAACCAGTTGTTTTGTTCTGTTTCCTGCCTTAGTAATGAGAAGTGCAGAGGTATATTTTCTTCCAGTGTTTTCACACACTAGGATTGTCTGAATGACCCTGGCCGCAACTATGTTCAGATTCATCCTACAGTGTGTTGTTGCACCAGCCCAGACTTTGCCCCCAGTATGCTTGCATGTGATAGTCAATTGTTAGGATTGTCTGGAATGACCCTGACCGAAATTACGTTCAGATGCATCCTACAACGTCCGGAGGCTGGCTGGTGCTAGTGGCCCACCATGCGATTGCGGTTCCAGTGTTTTCATGCTTTCGATCATTTTTTTTTTTCTTCGTACTAGTGTTCATGCAGTGGTGCAGAGTGTGTTGCACCATGTCTATTTTTTATTTTTATTTTTTTTCTCAAAGAAATTCAGATCTTGATTTACCGAAGGTTCTCCCGACCACAAAAAAAATACATGGAAAAGCGGGATGCACAATCCCCCCTACGAATACGCTGGCATGGCCGTTTACAGCGAAAAGCCGGATCTCTACGCGTCTATTTTTTTTGCGGAACATGTTTTCCGGACTTCGTTGTGCTCATATTATTTCATATCTGTCGATGCTTCTTTTTCCTCTGACGTTGAGGTGGAAAGAATTGTTTCTCTTTTTTTTCCATTGATTCGATTGAGGAGTCCATTCTCGAGGGGCCGTAAAAACACGGCTCTGGTATGCTACAGGTTTCCCCGTATGCCTATAGGTAGGAGTAGTGGTAGGTAGGTAGTGTTAGGAAAAAATTGAGAGAAGAGTATAGTTCAAAAAAAGTCCGTGTACTAAAACTCTGACATCTGTGGTAATAACTGTAACATTGATCAATTTTTTATTTTCATGTATTTATTTATTTTTAGTTTTTGTGAACTACACTATATTTCTTTTCTCAATTTCACCTTTCATTATCTGCCTACCACTACTACTAAGGGCCAGATCCCACTGGCAAGGACGATTGCATTACGTTTCTGAATGTGGATGTGTTCCACGCAGAGATGCAGAAAAGCAGATCAATCACAGCGTTCTGCACCTCGCCACAAACACGTCCAGATTCACACACTCATGCAAATCGTTTTAGCCAGTGGGATCTGGCCGTAAGTCTATATACAACAAGTCGGTTCAGATCTGATTCGTCTTTTTCTTTTTTTTTTCTTTTTTAATCAAGGAAATGAGCAACACTTGTGTGTTATAGGAAAAGGTGTACTGTCCCTCCCCTGAATAGCACATAGGGTCATCATAGCTGTATTTGGGGAGATTGTCAGTCCAGACGCAATGACCGTGGATGTACCATGGCTGTAGGTGCTATTCAGCGGAAGATGGTAGCTCAGCAGGTCAAAATACCTGGTCTGTTGAAACACAGACCCGAGTTCAAATCCAGATGGAAGTTCATGGAACTTGATGAATGAAAAACAGTTTAAGACAACACTGAATTACTTGGTGCCAACTCATTGGATGATGGTATCTCCAGACCGTTACCCTCTCACAAAAATATATATATATATATATCTATATATCGTCTATATATATATAGAA